CTATTTGAAATACCTGAAAAAACGGCTTAAAAAACTGTAAACACATATATACACATGAAGAAAGGTGCCCTTGCCCATGGAGACCACCAAAGGCTTCGGGGCTCTGAAGTTCCAGGTGGCCTTCACTACCATACGTGACTGTTAGGAACTGAACTGCAGAGCACCACACACGCTTAGCTGCTGTGCCATTTCTCCAGCTGCATGTCTAAGGCTTAAGTCATGTTCTGAACTTAATAGAAACCAAATTACTATTGAGATGGAAGAAGCAACTATGGTCTTTAGAGTGGTTCATATTGTAGCATCAAGAAATCTAACCAATTAGATAAAATGTGTTCCATTAGCTATGATATGATTCTCTTATGAATCTGTCTAATGAAAAACCAAGGTTAAATATTCAGGATATTTTTAACTATGTGATGTCCCATGGAAAACTTATTCTATTTTGTAATGTGTGTCTGCTTGTTTTGCAAGACCTGTACCTCTTCAGAGACTCATGGCAATCTTGAAGTTGAATACAGGGAGTAACTTAACTGTGAGATACTTGTGGCAATATTTTGGCTCCCTTTGGAGGTTGTACTTCCAAGCAGAAAATATTCTCATCAGTTGCCTCTCTTTTTACTGCTGCCATAAGCACAGTCTTCACAGCAATTTTAAAAATCTGAAATTAATGTTTCTATTTTCTATTCTGAAACCCTAAAACTGGAGAGAATTCAAGTTGAGGCAGTTAATAAAAAGTAAACTGGGCTAGGTCATGAATTCATATCTTTGAAATTCTTTTCCAAGTTTCACTTTCTTTTCATATTTCAGAACAACATACAAAAATTCCTTTCCTAGGTAAGAGACACATTAGGTGAGTCTTCTTATAACATGCCCTAAAAATTCACTTGAAATTATTTCTCAAAATTTTTGTAAATGTGACATAAAACATAACTTAGTTAAGTAATTGATAGATATCTGTCACTATAATATGTGTGTGTAAGACACCCCTAAAACTCCCTGCTCCCATTAAAGGTATAATGGGCACCATATACATCTTTGATAGCATTTCATGGCCTTTTATTCTAATCCTCTGCAACCAGAAGACTCCTACGTACCTTAGGGGTTTCCAGAGAGAGAGTGTTGTCTACACATAGTTGTTTCTTTTAAGATTCGCAGGTGATTAAAATACATTATCTCAATTAAAGATCCGTGGCAGACCAGACTAAGACTCAGCTGTTGATAATGTCTGGCTATGGGACTTGGGGCTCTTCTGCACACGCCTTCAACAAAAGGCCGAAAGCTGAAGAAGCTTTCATTTTAAACTGTTTATTCAGGAAGAAGCTTATTGATTATCAACATTCAAGTCTGTCCCCACAGAAGGTTAATAAACCATGTCACTGTGGCGCTATGTATAGCATGTTCTTGTGTGGATTCTTGTGTATAAAAGCAATTTTTTTGACATGAGAAGGAAGTAATAATATAATAGGTAACCCTGCTTGGATTTTGGCTTGCTTGCAAACTTTCTGGCATGTGTCAAGTATATTGTTAGATTTTTCTTGCTGGACTTCTGTATGTATTTATACTGTTATTTCCTAAAAAGATTGTTTTAAAATGTGAAATTTTATGGTGGACCATTCCAAGGGGCATTATATAACTTTCTGGAAAATGAAATTACATTCCTCGTTGACAAAATCCAGTTCTCCCATGTATCCCTAGTGACATTAGGAAGTTTGTTGTTTTTTGTTTGCCAGTGAGGATGTAGTAAGAGTTCCCCCACCCATACCAAGGGAATCAACGGTGAAATCCAGCTTATATGACAGCTTCCCAAGCCAAAATCTTTGTGCATTGGAAACCAACAAAAAACAGTCAGTACCACTATAGATGGCCATGAATGTGTCAAGAATTGAAGGAGGGTGAAATTTCCCTGTGTAATCTTCCTCTGTTCTTTGGATAGCATTCCCCGTAGCCTCCAGCTTTTGATCATCTCTGTTGTCTCCTTAGTGTGCCTTCCCCTTCGAGGCCTGCCCCGTGTCCCAGATACTTCAACACTCTCCCCATCTGCTCTGCTTCCCTCAGCTTCTTTTCCCTCTTGGCAGCCAACTGTGTTCCCAGCACCTCATTCCACCTTCCCACTTAGGGATCCAAACGCCAGAATGACTGCATTTCAACTTTCCACTTTGGGAAAGCAAAGAAATGAGTTCCTAGTAACAATTCCAGGGTTGAGCCTTGCAGGTCTTTTACAGTTCTTAAAACGAGGACGGAGAGGTGTCATGGTTATTTAGAGGCCTTGTAACATGGCTATTTACAAATAAGTGTGTGCTGCCCAAAGCTGGATGTATGAACAGGTATACCTGCCATATTGTGTGTCTCAAGGGATTTGGAATGATTTTGGGGAGAAGAGACACTGAAAGCAGATGAAGGGGACAATGATGATTTTATTATCTTGATATTGATAGAGCATAATTATTTAGTATACTGACTTCATTTTAATTGCTACATATTGGAGAGGAGCCTCCATGTGCCTCCATGATATTCGTGTTTATAAATTCATGCATAATATCCCAAGGACCTAGTGTTTGATCCAAAGATTTGGAGCACAAGTGAATGCTGTGTGATTCTCAGGCACCTAGGAGGCATTAGGAATTCTCTATGCTTTTTCCTCAAACTTTCCAATCTACCCAATGAGTCCTGAGAGGGAGTCATTATCTGATCCTATACCATGATTATGGAAGAAGTATTTTCCTCAGCTGGAGATTAGATAGATCCATGAAAATAGCTGGTTCTCATTCACAATACAGAGCAGTTGGGGGACCTCATAAAGTTCAGTGATGCCTGATTCCTTGGAAGCCACCTTGTTACATAAACTCCATATTTCCCAATTCCCTTCTCGTTCCTCTGACAATGCACTATTTCATTTCCAAGAGGAACTACTTCTACAGGGATGAACTACTTCTCAACTCCCCACTTGTAAAGATTGGTTCCCACATAAGGCAGAAATAACCATTACTTCCAAATTAAAAGTCTCATGTTTGTCTAATATGTAACCAATCAAGAGTTTATGTACTGAATGAGATTGGTGCTGTCTTATAATATGTTTAATGATTTAAATTTTGGATTATGAACCAGTTACTATCTGTTAAGAGACCAATATCAAGGACTTTCTATGTACATACAAAATACTGATGAGAAACAACATTATTCTATAAAAACAAAACCTTAATGATGAAGTTAAGAATAAAGTAGCATACTATTCTAGTAGGAGGAGCAATAATGTCTACAAATTTGAACAAAAATAGTACAATTTATAGTGTTTGCATGTTTATTTGTTTCATAATGTATTTGAGATGGTTTATAAAAGTGTTTCTCAGCTTTAATACCTGAAGTGCAAGTCCTAGTTAGAATTCTATACAGAAAGCATTACAGATCACTCAGCTATTATATTTCTAATTCAAATGCTTTTGCAGGCAACAACTTCAGCCAAGAAGAGAGAAAAGGCATTAAAACACCAACCTGTTTTCCTTTCATTTGATCTGGTACCATTGTTGATTTGTTTTCTTTCACTTTTCATTGTGGCTGAATGAAACACCCTCGCACTACTGCCTATTGTAGTCTTTGAATAGAACTATAATTTATATTCTATAATGAAAGTTTTTAAGAACAGTGTTTTTAAAAAAAACTTTAAATGCATTTTCATGTTTTCAGAGAGAATAGCAAATGAAAATTTTTCATGAAACGAAGAATTAAATGACCAACTTAACATAAGTGTTGTTCTGATACCACAAGATCACTGAAAATAATGATTTGGAGTTTTCATCTAATAGAATAATACTAATGTGAATGTTGACTTGGTTAAATTAGAAGTTGTCTGGTTGTCTCTGTCCAACAGAACATGGACACACTGGTTCCAGAAGTGTGCTTTTCAGAAATACTTGTTCGGCTTAGGAAGTAGTAGATGTATATTCATGCCCATTAATACTATGTTGAGAATATTAATGTGTGTTAAGCCACAGAATGTTTGTTATTACATTTTTCTTATTCAAATGTATAAGAATGCTGGGCGGTGGTGGTGCACGCCTTTAATCCCAGCACTCGGGAGGCAGAGGCAGGCGGATCTCTGTGAGTTCGAGGCCAGGCTGGACTGACAGCCTCCAAAACAATACAGAGAAACCCTGTCTCGTAAAACCAAAAAAAAAGTATAAGAATACTAGTGAACTTAAACAAAATTATCATGTTATATCAAACAAAAAGTAAACTGACAATTTAAATTTTCTTATATAGGATTTTCTGAAAACTTTCTTCAGGTTTCAGTGTCATAGGTGTCTGTACTGGGAGTTATAATTAAACCATTTCAAATGATTAAACTTTTGGGAAACTACAGAACTTTTTGTGCCTTCACTTAGTGAGCATGTCCCAGTAGTTCTTGTGACAACCACAAATACAGAAAGATCATCGCAAGTTTCCCAAGTTTGCTGCTGGATGGTATTTTGTCTCTAGATCAGAATTATGTTGCATAAGACTAAAATCATTCATTACATTGCAGAACTCCAGCCAGAGAAGATGTTTTAGTTCATGTAATGAAAGCTACCATTCTTTCCTAAGATACTGAAGCAGACTCCCAGTACAGGATGGATCCAGAAGAAAGAAAGGGATGTTTTAATTAAATCAGTCTTGCTTACATATTTCTAAAACGAAGCTTTACACCCTGAGCTTGGCTTTTGAAGATTCAACGTGGATCTACTGATCATTTTTAAGTTCATGTAGCCTCTTATATAATTAGTGAATTTAGCTTAAGTTGTATATTTGTCCGCCAATGGAATAGAAATGTCCTCATGCTAAATGGTTTTCTTACTCTCTGTTGTACACTTCACCTTCAGTTTTCATCATTGTGACTTAAAGAAAAATTTTTTGAGTATTTGAGTGAATAAACTATTTCCCCACTGCAATGAGGGAAAATAAGAAATCATGCTTCTATTGAAATATATCATTAATAATGATAAATCTGTTCCATTTTCTCCTTGCAGTCTCCAAACGTCCACAACTACCCCGATATGGAAGCTGTTCCCCTGTTGCTAAATAATGTGAAAGGGGAGCCCCCAGAGGACTCATTGCCTGTAGATCACTTCCAGACACAAACTGAGCCAGTGGACTTGTCAATCAACAAAGCCAGGACCTCCCCTACCGCAGTTTCATCCTCCCCCGTCTCCATGACAGTGTCTGCCTCCTCGCCTTCTTCAACTTCAACCTCTTCATCATCTTCTAGTCGTCCAGCCTCATCCCCCACTGTTATAACATCAGTATCTTCAGCATCGTCTTCGTCAACAGTGTTATCTCCAGGACCCCTTGTTGCCTCTGCATCTGGCGTGGGCGGCCAGCAGTTTTTGCACATCATTCATCCTGTCCCACCTTCCAGCCCCATGAACTTACAGTCTAACAAACTCAGTCATGTTCATCGAATCCCTGTGGTGGTACAGTCAGTGCCGGTTGTCTACACAGCCGTACGGTCACCTGGAAATGTGAACAACACTATTGTTGTGCCACTCCTGGAGGACGGGAGAAGCAAAGGTAAGAGACACAAAGTCTCACTGTGTTTCAGCACTAGAGAAAGCCATGTGTTTTTTTTTTTTTTTGACTGAGATCTAGATTGTGTGTAGACACTATGTTCAAAGAATCTGTGTAGAATCATGCACACCATCTGATTGGCTACACTGAGTAGAACCCTGCTTGGGAGCAGTCACATACAGTTCCCTTAGCAGAACCCAGGCCATGTTGCCTATTTACTGAGTAATTTCATGTCTGAATTCTGATATCTTAATTAACAAAATAATGCTTCCCTTAAATGGTAAAGTGGGAGGGGCAGCCTGTGGATAGTAGAATTAATATGAAATGAAAATTCATGAATCCTTTATAAACATTGGTCATTGTGAGTGTTTTGAGGCAAACACGGACTTTCTTGTGGTTGTTCAAAGTTGAACTTTGTAGATGACTAATATAAAATGTCATAAAGATGAATTGCCTAAGGTCTAGACACTTATTTCTGAGTGTCTTTTAAATTAGGTTGATATTAAAATGATTAAGCCAGGCAAGTACAATGTCCATTTAATCACAGCACTCTATATCTTGATCTATAGGCAGCATAGAGACACAAAGACTAGCATGGGCCTTTGGAACCTCTAATCCCGTTCCCAGCAGCACACCCTTTCCTCAAAGACCATACCAACTGTAACAAGGCCACGCCTCCTAATCCTTCTAGGCCTGCTCAGACAGGTCCACTCCATGATGACTAAGCATCCAAACAGATAAACCTATGGGGCCATTCTTCTTCAGATCACCATAACCTGTGAAAAAAAATAGATGTCGATGTAAAATTCATTTTTAATCATCTTCAAATTCAGTTACTATGGTTTTTAAATAACAGATTGAGTTATAATGGTAATATTTCAAAACACATTATTAAGGGTGTCTAAGTTTTCGGAGATAAGAAGACACTTTGTCACATTCTCATGTGGTAATATTTAGTTACTTCTTTAATTGTGGCAGTTAAACAGCTGTGTATGGAGTTTACCTTCTACTTATGAGTCATTGCTTTAGGAAGAGTTTTAATAGAAAAAAATTACAAATCCTGTATCTTTATTCTCTCCTACATACAAGTTTAAGCACTGAGCCTCCCCTCCCTGGAAAAATAAAATCCTATATTGTTGACTTATTCCCTATGAAATTGAGTGCATACTTGTATATTCAGAGGCCAAACACAATGCTAGGATCAGACTTTCCCAATATTGCTTTTTTCTTTGACACTGTGTTACTATTGAGGCCCATGATTAAAACATGATCGATGAATGCATAAACCACTGTCTTCTCATAAAATGCTAGGAAACATGGTTGTTTTGCTTCTGGTAAAAGGTAGGATTCAATATTGAGAAATGATATATGATTGAAAACTTGGCAGAATGTTTATGAACATCTGTATAGAGCTGTGTGTTCACCACTAGAAGTTATTACTTTATCAATATTAAATTTCTTCGTAGCCCTCAATAAGTTTCACCTTCCGTCTTTTAACAAAGTTAAAAATCTCCTGATTCAGGAATTTCAGTTTGCATGTTTGAGACGTAGACACCCCCTGCTTTCTCTAACAATGTCTGTTGCCAAGGCCCACGTGGCTTGGGTTCTAGCACTCTGCCTAGGCAAGGAAGAAAAGGCAAGCACACAGGCATGTACACAGTGAAGCTGGGATAGAGTTGGGCGTGGCCTCGGCATGTTTATTATGTACAATGCAGGGGCTAGTTAGACTCAGTAGTCTCTGTCAATGGGCAGGCTCAGTCTACAGACATCTGGGAGGAGGAAGTCACAGTTGCTACTCCATACACACTGATCAATTTTTCATAAACACTAATACTCAAACTCCCTGAAGAAAGCTTGGCTATTGGTCTTGAGCTAAGCCCATATGGGTAACAGCTTAGCCAATTTCCCAGGAGTCAATTGCTCTCCGAGTCTGTAACATGGATGTGTCCATGTCAAAGTACATGGTCACTTCCTCCCGGAAATCAGTTTCAGCAACACTTTGGACTGAACAATTGGAGAAAAGGGGAGATTAAGGTGCTTTTGACTGGATTATTTTCATGCTGAACCCTTTTGGTGTTTCTCATAACACTGACTAAAATGACCAAGTCTCTTTGAATAATAACAACCTAAATGGGTACTAAATCAGATTGTTTGTTTTACTTATTATCCAGACATATAGGTATAAATTAGTAAGGATTAGCATTTAATAAGCAGTGAGGCACATAATTTATATTTCTACATATATATGGTATAATTTCATATATGTGTCTATGTGTCCATGGTAGACTCCAGTGTCTCTGGTTTTATAATCATATATGTATGTCTATGTTACAGTCTAGTCATTCTGCAGTGCCAATTAATGGAAATATCACTTTGTTAAACTAATTAGTAAATATTTTAATGTTGATTATGAGCTTTTTATATGATTTTGACTTAATAATTAGCAAAAGAGATACCTTTTATTTGCCATTATCATTTCATAGGAGAGGTTTTTTGTAATTAGAAGATATAACATATGAAATATATATATGTCTAAAATTTAAGTTTTTGGAAATTGTGTGTTGCAGGAGCCCTTTTTTTCTATGTAAGTTTATTAATTACTCTTATGTGGTATATTTTATTTGGTAACTTTTATGTCATGAGTAAAAATGTGCTCAATTATAAGCTCAGTAAACCATTCTATGTATTTTAAGATAACAGATACATGAGATAAAAATGCTGCTTCTCTCACTTACAACTATAGAAAACTATTGTCTTAATCCTTAATTTTATCAGTGGAAAAATGGGACTATTAACATGACCTATATTAGGATTTCATGGAAGAACATAGTACAGATACCTAGTATTGACCAAGTGACAGTAAACATCTGTATTTTACCATTATTACTTTTCTCCTAAATATGACAAGCAAAAATCAACACTTCCTCTTCTTCTCCTTACAAGACAGATAGTTGATGGTGGTGGTGGCATCAGAGACCAAGCTTGGTGAGTTAGACATCAACCCCAGGAAGCGGGTTTGGTGCTACTTCTCAAAGTTGCTGACACAGCAATGATAAGGGATGGGAGATTAGTGTGAGAAATTGTCTGGAAACACCTCATTTTTAAATTTTATTACTTCATATTAAGTTTTTATAATCACCATATTCTACAAATATTGCTATAGCATTTTATATCATTTTACTGTTTAACTGATTAACTGGAGGACAGTAAAAGTGTCTAGTGGAAAGCTTTGCCTACCTCACAGAATGAGGAAAGGAAAGGACATTTGGGTAATCCTTCAACTCTTTATTTTACACATATTCAGCTGGGTACTAAACAGACAATGAAATAGCCAAATAATAAAAGGAGCTCCTATAATACCTCCTCATATAGGACTAGTATACTTGGTACGGATATACAAAAGAAAAATACCCTATACTAATTAATTTTTGAAAACACTAATATGAAAGGTATAAAATGTCACTCATATAAACTTGGTGACTTTACCAGCTAATTACTTTTGAGATTGGTATAACCTGTATGATCTGTGACAGAGAAGATGAGCCTACACATCACCTGACACAAAGTACTGTGAATATACATATCCTCACATAAAACTCACATATCGTGTGGCTTGAGTCATGTGTTCATGCAAGTGTCTACTAAGCATCTCTCAGCAGTAGTAGACATTACTGCCACTGAGGATACAGATATAAACAGAGCTGGTACCTTTTCTCACACTGCTTCCTGGTCTAACCATTCTGAAGCTAATGGAACACATATAGCTAAGGGCAGCTAGGAATGAAGCCTAACACAAAATTGGAAGCATACTTAAAACTGAGATGTTGTTTGCAATTTCTTTTTAACCAAATTGCATATCATTTAGCATGACTTTTACAGAAGATAGCATCACATTGCAGTGTAAAAATGCTGGATATAACTGCTAGTCTGATGGATAATATCAAATTAAAGAAATCTTAGAAATGAATATTCATTACTTTTGGTTAGAGTAGGATGAAAATTTACATAATGTCAGTCAGTAACTTGTCCAGTAAGAAGATAATTAGAATTATAAGAAAATAGAATTGTATTTGACAAAAATGTATTGCCATATAGCAATGTCTTGCCTATGATTATCCATAAAAAGATGGAGGTCATGGTTTGGGGAAGGAATGAGATAAAATGCCCACCAAGAAAGCTTTAATAACACCAAAAGGACATGAAAATATTTTCTGATGAAACCAGAGCCCCAACTTATCCAAGTAGAAAGGATATTGGCCTTGAGGAATGAAAGATGTTAGCTACCCCAGAGTACACAGACATCACAGTGGGACATGGAATGGAATGTGAAATAGGAAGAAAGCTGGAAAAATGTTCAAGAGGTACAGTAAATGAACATTATTTAGAATAGAGCTGTGAGAGTAAGGAGTAAGAGGTCTACTGAGGACAAGCAGCATGGACCCTCCAGTGTGAAGCTGGGGGAGATACAGCTCAGCTATGTAGAAGAATGTTTTGTTAATACAGAAGCTACACCTCTCAAGAAGTTGTCTTTAAATAACAACTCTAGGAATTACAGTCCAGCCTATGAAAAGGTGTAATATAATTCCCATGGAAGTTTCATTATTCTGTTTGTAGCTACTTAGTGGCAGAAGCCCATATAGCATCACAGTAAATCAGGGGCAAGGTTGTGCTCAGTTCAGTTAGTAGCCTGATGGAAAAGTAAGGCACGGTAGAAGAGTAGAATTCTCTTCCCTTCTGCCATGTAAGGTAGATTTCCTATATAATAAACATGGTGCTGAGAACTGCAGTTCCAAGCAGAGCAAGGCCATGCTACACTGAATATTACATTTCAATATGAAAGGTGATGAGCGTGTGTCAACTACTGTAAGTGCTACAGAGAACCAACAGGACATGAGAAGTTAGAAAGAGAAGGGTCTGCTGTTAGGTATAATCAAGGAAACCCTTTGAGCATTCACCTGTGCACATCTGCAAAAGATACTTCCAAAAGATCTGAAGGCTCAATT